CCAGCTATATGGCGGCGGTCTGTAAATAATCGAGTCTGGTATAGACGGGTATAGGTAAAGATGGCTTCTTATGAATTAATCAATAATGAATTCACGAATGTGTGGATGAGGAATGAAAATGTATTTTACTTATATCATATGCATATATAAAGTAATAATGCAGACTCATTTTCTTGTTAGTACGTCGAGGACTGTAGGGTAGTCTAGTGGTTATTTAAAGCATTCGCTCGTCTCGCCAAAGACCCGGATTCGATTCCCCATTGTCTCCTGGAATACGAGAGGTGTCCCAAAAGTAGTCGGCCCCACTTAGAAAAATTATACAAATGCAGCTGTCAACCTCAATCAAAAATCAAACGTAGATATTAAAGTGCATAAAAATGCAATTTGAAACTACACTCGCTTGTCAAAGTGAAAGAGCTTGTTTTGGAGACACTACCCCCACCCCTTCCAGATGACGTAATCATACGGACATAACTTATTGTAATGTTTTCACTTATTCATACATGATGCGAAGGGTTCAAACTAAATACTGAATGGTCACACAAGTGTCAGATGTCAGTATATTGTGAACAGTGCCAGCTTGAATATCTGGACACAATAAAATGTTTTTTGAAAGATTAAAATGGGGGTGTCCTTTAAACAGCCCCGTCTAAATATAAACCAAGCAATCCAAATCTTTGAATATTGATTATGACTAGAAGTCATCCAATACTATACTGAACATATTTTATATGATATTATCTGAGGGCATACCATTATCCAAGAGGTACATAATGACAGATCGTTTTTCACTTTCTTCAATTTTTACAGAAATATTATATCCCAATGTGTTGTGATGACTAATGTTTCGTTAACCACATTACCCACATATGTGAAATTTTGGATATGGCTTTGCTAATGATTCCTTCAAAATAGAATTGAACCTCGAGAATATAGTTAGGCCGACTACTTTTGGAACGCCCCTCGTATTGTTATAAACTGCCTAAAACCCAGCTCTCTCACTTACCATGTCCGTATGTAGTGCATGTGTTAACTAGAAAAGACTTTCGCTGCCAACATGGAGAAAGTAATATATTGCTATTACAATGGATGTAATTCCTCAGCTGTAGGACGAATCTTAGTCTGTCTCACAGTCCCTGAACCACATTAATTTCCCTACTGCCAAGCCCTCTCTGCAGTGCTAAAGCCCTAAATAAAGCAAGTCTAGATTTCCTCAGGTTCTGAATCTCTGGTCTCCCTAGGGCTCCTTTTCAATATAAATGGGCTTGTTTGTTACTATCAAAATTATATATATTCAGAGACTAAGCCTTAGTCTAGACGAATCTAGGTGTTATACGTGTTTTGTAAGTAGTTGTGCTTATCATAGTCATAATCATAGTCTTCGTCTATTGCTTTGTAAGGAAAGGTGAAAGAGATCTGTTTAACGCCAGTGATGTCACGGCGTGTCGGCTTAATGGGGGATGGAAACCCGAAGTAATATTAGCCACTTTGGTGAAAGCCACGGGTTGTAATGAAAACCTAGACAAATTATCGAGACGAACTTGGATTTGAACTGACCATGAGTTCTCACGTACCCAAGGGACGCAACTCTTATACACAGTGAATGGTGGTTGGAGTACACGTGAACCCAAAATAGTAAATGTTAATTTTGATACTGCATTACTTGTTTACTACAAATATAACATTGGTTCATTACGCGTCCTTTAATATTTAATATTTGGGAAATGCCTGTGACATATACTATGGAGTATGCGTATAATCTTTATGTAATATATGTCGTTCGTATGAGGTATAAAGTAGTTCTGATTGTTTCAGGATTGTAATGGCACGTGAAGAATTGGTCTTCAGCAACCCATGCGTGTCGTAAACGGCGATTATGTCTTTTTAATGAATTGCAGGCATGTGACACGTTAATAAACTATATTTCTTCTTTCTATACTTGATTAATAAATAAGGATATAATTGGTTAGCATCGGTTATCTCCCAATTGACAAATAAACTGTTTTTCCATCTTTCAAAATAAATATTACTTCAGTTTTTCGAAATAAATTAAAAAAGCCCGTATACATCAGTTTGTTCCTGTGTTTTTATTTGGACTATTCCATTATAATGTGTAGGTAACAGGTAGTAGATAATCTGTTCACTGAACCGTAAATGTTGTTGTTTTAAGGTGTCTGCGAACTGGCTGTCTGCGTAATGGGAGGACACCATATAATTTGAATAAAGTTTCCGAAGGCATGCGCTTACCCGGGATTTACCCCGGTTTGGGCAATATTCCATAAATATCACACAGTTCTGGAAATGAACGTTTCAGGCGAAAGGCACTTATTCGTGGCAGAACTGATATATCCGCAGAGTTTTATGACGAAATATCCAAACAGCCTTGAGTTCTGATCAGGAAACAAAACCTGACCAGCGGAAGGACAGCTAGCCTGTGTCAACACTATTTCCCTTTGACCCAGGACTGCCTCTTACACAGACACCCTAAATGAAGCTAGATTTTATTTAGGTTAATCTCCCGTCTCCTTTTCAAGTTTTATTAAGTTATTTGTTTTCCCAGAGTTAGACATTAGCATTAGTAAGGGACGTCAACCATTCCTGTATCTCAGATTATAAAATTACCCGGTAGCAAACACAACGATGCCCTCAGAATTCTGATTCTCGAGAGGCGTTTAGAGATTTCTGATTTTCATCATAGAATCACGAAGGGTGGGGGCATTCAGGTTTTTAAACTTAACTGAATAATACCCAACCCAACTACGGAAACAAATGAGGGGATGTATGAAGACATGGCTATATGCGAGTTTAGTTTCACGCCGCTTTTAGCAATATTCCAGCAATATCACAGCGGGGGACACCAGAAATGGGCTTCATATACTGTACCCATGTTCGGAATCGAATCCGGGTCTTCGGCGTGACGAGCGAACGCTTTAACCACTTCCACATTGCCCCACACAGCTATATATTCTTTGAGGTAGTGCAGTTGTGGTACAGACATACAGCTCATGCCGTACGCATGCTCAGTACATGTAATGAGTGAGCTGGTTTTCGCTTCTCGAACAATATTTCCGTGGTTACGGCGTATCAACTTGACGTGGTGAGTGACTGAATTTTAGTTTAACGCCGCACTCCACAATATACCAGCTATATGACGGCGGTCTGTCAATAATCGAGTCAGGACCGAATCCCGTGATCAGCCGCATGATATTTATCTACGCAATTGGGATACGATGACATGTGTCAACGAAGTCAGCGAGCCTGACAACTCAATCCCGTAAGTCATCTCTTACGACAAGCATGGGTTGCTGAAGACACTTTCAGCAATATTCCAGCAATATCATGGCGGGAGACACCAGAAATGGGCTTTACACGTTGTACCCATGTGGAGAATCGAACAGCGTGACCAGCGAACGCTATATACACTTGGCTACACCGCCGCCACAGCTTGACGTGGAAGGCAGGCCCTTAGTGCTGCAGATGGCAGATGTTTGGTGAAATCCTCGAGCACAAATATGGTGCTGTCAAATACAGAGACGAACCAACTGATGGCAACCACACCCCTCAGGAATTCCGAACCAGTCTACTGAAATATGGACTGACTGACTGACTGAGTTTGGTTTTACGCCGCTTTTAGCAATATTCCAGCAACATCACGGCGGGGGACACCAGAAATGGGCTTCACACATTGTACCCATATGGGGATTCGAACCCGGGTCTTCGGCGTGACGAGCCAACGCTTTAACCATTAGGCTACCCCACCGCCCCGAAATATGGACTGAAGGTCGACTGTTGAACAGTGATTTCTGTGACACGACTGTTTTCTGTTTCATTGCTTCCCGTGATATTAATGGCATACTGCTTAATATGACGTTAACAATAACTCTAAGACACTTTTAGAAATCTGAAAATGATGAAAGTCTGAGATCCTTTTCATTGTATTTTATTTATTCTTTATTATGAACTGTTTTATCTGTAAACTATGTTCATTTCAGAAACTAGTTGTTAGTCTAAGCCTACATGTACCAGACATAACACACGATTGTAATATGATCTTCCACTGGTATAATGAGGGTGACATTGAGGTTTACGAAAAAGTTAATCATTTCATACACTGAATCACAAATAGTAAAACAATTGAATATGTCTGCATGTTAACACGGCTTTAATTCAATGCTGAACCCCTGCTGTGTGGGGAACCTCAGCTGTCCACTCGACATGTTCAAACACATGGCATACCTCTGCTCACCCGTGTGTTCTTTCTAATCTAATTAGGAACAAAAAGCTAAGCTGCGATTCTTATACACCTTAACACCAAACCAAAACAGATAATGTGTTTGGACCAGATCACGAAGCTTTACCCTTGGTGATTATTATTGGTACTGGTAGGCTGGATTATAATACAACACTACCTACATCTGACTCCGGAATTACTTATTTCAGAGTAACTGGCTAGAATCTGAACTGACTCTCACATTTTCATGTTCTCCCACTGTGGATTCTGGTGAAATAGATCATCGATACTCAATACATGTAGTTCTGTAATACTACTGTATCGAAAAGACCAAAGCGATTCATATCATAATTGCCTAATCAAATGACTTAAAAAAGCACTGTCACTATGGTGACATAATCCCCCGCTGCAAATTATCAAATCACTTATAAAGTAATAAAAGCTGAAGTTAAATGTCAACCGCTAAGGCTAATACTTTAAACCTGGGCGGGGGATAATAATTATGCTTATTGGTCTTATGTGGATTTTGTTCTGTTGACATTCTGTTGAAAGCATTTTCAGAAGTATGACAGTTTGAATAGCATAGTGAAACAACGACTGGGTGAAACGAAACTCAATCTAAAAAACCCCGAATCATACCTTCATCCAGCACCTGCAGGGATACCTCACAGCCTGGAATATTCACCATCATAGGTGTTTATCATCTGTGTTTTGAATTAGAGGACAAACTGGATTCTGTCAAAAACTAAGCAAGACAAAACAAGCAACATAACCCAGTATTTTTTATTTTCTCATGAGGCTGTACATTTAATCTCTCTGCATCATCTTTTGTCTCTTGAGTTTTTTCTGAGAAACCTTCTTCTTGACGGGTTCATCTTCCCGCCCTGAGGGTCGAGCAACAGCCTGTTCCCTCTCAGTGAGGATCACCTCAATATGGCAGGGACTGCTCATGTATGCTGTAACAAGAGGACATCATGAGAAGCTGCTCCAGGGGACGGAGACAGACACACAGATACTATAGACACAAAGATACTATAGACACACCCAAACAGACACATTACACACACAGAGACACTATAGACAGACGTGTGCTCGCACACACACACACACACACAAACAAACAAGAATCTCTCATACATGCATACACACATCTAATAAAAAATAACTTATACAAACAGGGACATCTCAAAGTCTTATACACACAAGAATCTTTATATTTAGGGACCAAAGTCATGAACCCAGGGCCTCTGCAGATAGAGATTGAGCACATAAAGGAACAGGGACCCTGACCAACATCCCAGACCTTCTGCATACATGAGATTGGTGGGTTCTATGGTTTCTTAGACCACACATGAGCAGTATCATATAGGCACTACCCTGAATCACAATCTGATGTGGCATGGTGAGCTTTCAGTGAAACTTTAATTTCATGGAAATCATTCCGCTGAATTGACATCATCAAGCTCACAGTAATCCTACTTCTAGAAGTGTACTTGCGAGTATGCAGGCCATTTATTCAGACAGAAAATCATTCTGTACACTACCACACATCAGTCTGATACAAGATCCCTCATGCTCATACACAGACAATTCTCATACATGTAAATACTAATCTCTTGTACAACAGGGTTATCTCCAATTCTTATACACACAAGGACCTCTGTTTTGTTTGTTAGCATGTTGTTTAACGCCGCACCCGGCAATATTCAGCCATATGGCGACGGCCTGTAAATAATCCAGCCTGGACCAGACAATACAGTCATAAACATCATGAGCACTGATCTAAGCAATTGGGATACATTACAATAATATGTCAACCAAGTCAGCGAGCCTGACCACCCGATCCTGTTAGTTGCCTCTTACGACAAGCATGGGTTGTTGAAGGCCTGGTCTGCTCATCACGCTGCTTCCATTCCCTACATAGATGCAATGCATGAAGACCATTTCTTGTGTCCCCTGCCGTGATATTGCTGGAATATTGCTAAAAGAGGTGTAAAACTAAATTCACTCATTCACAATCTGATGTGATAAGGTGAGCTTTCAGTGAAACTTTAATTTCATGGAAATCATTCCGCTGAATTGACATCATCAAGCTCACAGTAATCCTACTTCTAGAAGTATACTTGTGAGTATGCAGGCCTTTTGTTAAGACAGAAAATCATGCTGTACACTACCTCACATCAGTCTGATACAAGATCCCTCATGCTCATACACAGACAATTCTCATACATGTAAATACTCATCTCTTGTACAACAGGGTCATCTCCAATTCTTATACACACAAGGACCTCTGTTTTGTTTGTTAGCATGTTGTTTAACGCCACACTCGGCAATATTCAGCCATATGGCGACGGCCTGTAAATAATCCAGTCCGGACCAGACAATACAGTCATAAACATCATGAGCACTGATCTAAGCAATTGGGATACATTACAATAATGTCTACCAAGTCAGCGAGCCTGGGTCCCGTTCCTCAAAGCAATCGTAGCGCTAAGGTGATCGTAACTTCCATACTTTAACATTGACTTACGACAGTCGTAGCACTACGATAACTTTGAGGAACAGGGCCCTGACCACCCGATCCCGTTAGTTGCCTCTTACGACAAGCATGGGTTGTTGAAGGCCTGGTCTGCTCATCACGTTGCTTCCATTCCCTACATAGATGCAATGCATGAAGACCATTTCTGGTGTCCCCTGCCGTGATATTGCTGGAATATTGCTAAAAGAAGTGTAAACCTAAATTCACTCACTCACAATCTGATGTGATAAGGTGAGCTTTCAGTGAAACTTTAATTTCATGGAAATCATTCCGCTGAATTGACATCATCAAGCTCACAGTAATCCTACTTCTAGAAGTGTACTTGCGAGTATGCAGGCATTTTGTTAAGACAGAAAATCATTCTGTACACTACCACATACTTTCCATCTGATAACATTACTTTCTATAGGGTCTATAATACCATCATCAAACTAAGTTATTTTTGTAGTTTCCTTAACCAGAAAATATGTTTCACAATACAAGATAACTTTACAACATACCACTTGTTACCTTAGAATAAGAATAATCGGCGCAGAGTTTATATTTACATTTTCATTTGGTACAACAAAATATACAACAATAAATGATTCATGCCTCAAGACAGCCCAAACCGTAACAGGCATTTACATCAAATGTGAACATGATAATAATGAAACATTATAGGCCCTCCAATATGAGTGAGTTCTCTTCCTATACTTGGACACAAAAGTAAGATGCAGTATATGCATCTCAGCAGCAACTTACGGTTGATACGTCCGTGAGCCCTGTACGTCCTTCCTCCTCATCTTGGGAGCCATGTTGACCTGGATGTGTTCAATGACCAGGTGATCGGTATCCAGACCCTGCACGATAACAACAGTCAATAACAGGCAGCTGGCTTATGTTCCACCTAACACTGTCAGGAAGACTACAGCGAACTTCTCAACAGTCAACATCATTCATTTTGCAACCTCAACAGTACTGTGATTAGGAGTGTAAGAAATATTGAACTATCCATGTTCTGCAATTTTGCCCCATGCTTATAACACATGGACAGTCAAGTAATAATGCCAATATTATCAAAAGTTTAGATAGACATCTTTTGTTATAAACACAAAAAATGTCAGAAAACTCAATTTTTCAATCAAATTTCAAATTTTTGTGGGTCCATCTACAGGGATTATGACAACATATAACAGTAACTTCCCTTTAGCCTGTGAAGCATGAGGGAAGAAAATGGGACTACTTTGACATACTTTATTCATTTGTATTTTACAACAAAAATTTCATTATCAGATCATAGAGTAAGTTAGATACCATTGCAAAAATGTGAGGTATCACTGCCATACAATTTTAGTGTCAAACAGGTTTCCCTGTAATCTGTTCTGTCTGCTTGATTATTGTTAAAACATGTTCGGAAACATGGCTGCATCCAATAAATAACTGAACTTCACAGATCATTGACTGATATTATGAACAGCTTCCAAAGTACAATAACACACGATCAAACAGAAACCAAGGCAACCTGATCTGTTTGGTTACGTGAAAAACTACCATAGGTTGCAGTTGACTTATTCAAACCAACTATTCCCATTGTGCCTGGAAAACTCGGCATGTCACATTTTCAATGAAAATCACTTTGGGTCTACAAAACAAGGTCTTAAATTATAGTCTGTGTCATCAGGCAAACTTTCTAAAAAATTTACTCAAGTAACTATATAGAGAGATTAAAAACAATGCCAGTACCCCATAATTCTTGCCCATTTCATAATGCTGAACCATTTGCAAATACATAAAAATATATTGCTTTGTCAGAGGGAGAAAACCTACCTTGAATTCAGCATTACTTTCAGCATTCTTGAGAAGCTGAAGCAAAAACTGGGCACTCTTCTCGGGCCACCTTCCCTGGGAGGTCTTAAACTGTTTGGCCTGGAGGGAGAAGAGATGGATTATCAGTAACTAATAGTTAAACAATTCTTGTGTTGAGTTCTCTTCACTATACATTTAAATACTTTCCAATAAATAATGATTGTTGAGCTGTCATTGTCATTCAGACTGCCTCATTACGTAACACGAAATTACGTAGTCAGTGGTATTCCTGGCGGTGGGGTAGCCTAGTGGTTAAAGCGTTCGCCTGCCAGGCCGACAACCTACCGTATATATCCGTAGATAAGCCGAATTTTGAGGACAAAAATAAGCAGTCTCTTGAAGGGGGTCGGCTTATCTATGAGAGCTGGCCATAGCGTGGGGTCGGCTTGTGTACGTTTTACATCCGACTGTCCGATGTCTAGTGGTGTGAGTTGGCCGCGACTCATCGCTGGGGGTCGGCTTATGTACGAAACATACCATTTTGACACTCAATTCAAGGGTCAAGCTAGGGGTTCGGCTTATCTAAGGGGTCGGCTTATCTATGGGGTCGGCTTATCTACGGTGTTTTGTGCAGCATCAAACAGCATCTGAGTTTAGGTTATAACATCAGTCATATCAACTAAAACGTTGGTACAAAAATATCAGTTTGATTACAGAGATCTTGAATGGGTAACTAATCAAATTTCAAAGAACGACCTGTAGAACAAGCTGTACAAACCAAAAGAGGTGAGGTAACATGGTGTTTAATGTCATACTTAAGAATATTTCATTCACATAATGATGTGCATGCATTTTATGTGTGGCTTCTTGTACTAGCCCAGACTTAAGCTGGTTTTATAGTGCTAGCTCACTGAGATACCATGCCGCAGTTAAGCATAAATAGCCCACTCAGACACATTATACTCCAAGCTGACCAGTCTTGTTTTACCCAGTAATGCCAAGAGCCAGGCAGGGAACAATAAGTACCATATTTTAACGTCTTTTGGTATGACACGGCCATGGTTCGAACCCTCAACGTTTCCTCTCTCCGGGCGGACGCTATAACCACTACACCACGGAGGTGGTTACAAATGAAAAGATGAATTCACTAACCTGAGCCTTCCTGCCCACACCTCCATTGAACCTGCGGAAAGGTACAATTTCCTTTTTCTCAACTACATTCTTCAAATAACGATTGGCCCTTTTCAGGTGCATGTGTTTCACAGCCTGGGCGGTTTCCCTTGTGTTCTAGGATAAAGGAAAACAACATAATTCAGGTATGTCAATAACACCTAGATAAAAAGGATTTCACCGGACATATGTCTGTAACGAAATGTTATGACTATGAATAGGATGAATACCTCTATTGAATAATTGTTTCTGCCATGTAAAATACAAAATTTGGTACATCATACATCTGCTTTTAAGAGAAAGAAACCTCTCAAAATTTCCTACTAAACCACAGGACCAGTGAGTGGACAATAATCAGTGGTCCTGTCTGTACTTCACTGATCCAAAATAACATTTGTATATTTACTTAAAGGTCACATGCAACCAAAAAATCAAACATAATTAAAACACAATTATCATTTATTCATGACATATAATATACATTGCTGGTTATGAAAAAACATAAAACAAAATTATAAGCGTACAATCGCAAATCAAAAGTGCAATATTGTGTACTTCGGTTTACTTCCCAAGAAACGAAGCAGCCGGGATACCAACCCAGTCTGAGCGGGTGGGTGTGCACTCAAGTGTAACGGCTGGTTCATTTGCTGATGCCCTCACGGGTCATTGTGTGTGTATATATAGAGATGTTGGGTTTTGTAAATACATGCTCATTTTTTGTGTATAACATTTTGCAATCAACAGACATCATAACATGTCATGTGTTCAAGTATCACACCTGCCTGTCTGTGTAATTACATAATGTGACAGAGACCAAACTCGGGCCATAAATCAATGCATTTTGTTTATGGTGTATAGCCTGATTGGTGTTAAGTTCAAATTGCATGTGGTCAGTGATAGCAGCTGTGTATTGAATATTGTCATTAGCAGACAGGCAGGCAGACACACAGGTGTCAATAAAACAAGACATTGAGTTTAGTCTGTGACAACGACATATCTATATCACAGTTGGAAATTCTGTCAACGCTAAATAATGGCATTGCTTTTAAGTATCGAACTGAGAAAGTGACTCGGTTAGAAGAACGTGTGGTGAAATAGACAAATGAAATTATATAAACAGTTAATTTACTGTCATAACATATAAAAAGCTCGCGCCTGTGAGATATCAACAAACATTAGAAAAATAGCTCACACCAAAGCCTTCACCGAATATTCACCGGACAACCGCTTCCAAGCTGCGCGAACCTACTTTACTGCACACGTGCTATAAGCGCAGCCCAGCTGTTGAAACCCGTTTTCCCCAGAAAAGTTTTGAACTCCGATTTCGCGCGTCTTTTTTCATCGCGTTATTTTTCAACTTTACAAGTTGAATTTGCATTTTTGACGATTTGTTTCGGTAAGTCCATACCGAAAGGTATCAGAATCTGCAAAGTTGTGTTTTACGTTGCATGTGACCTTTAACTATCACTGGCCACCAGGAACACTGTAAACTTATCATTTAGTGGTCCTGTTGAATTATTACTAGCCAGGGACCACAGGAACAGTGCAAATTTTGCAGACTGCTTTTAATAGTGCTACAAACTAATCAGATCATTAAACTGAACAAGTTGCACTCAATTGTCAATATTCCAACTAGTTACTCACTTTGAAGTGGACTCGCAGATATGACCCTCTAGCCTTGGCAGCTGAAATAATAGAAGCAAACTTCAACCACTGACTGACTGAGTGAGTTTGGTTTTACGCCGCTTTTAGCAATACTCCAGCAATATCACGGCGGGTGACACCAGAAATGGGCTTCACACACTGTACCCATGTGGGGATTCGAACCCGGGTCTTCGGCGTGACGAGCCAAAAACTTCAACCATGTGAATCACTAAGTACTAGGTAGGAATAATAGATAGACTGCTTAAGTTAAGGTTCCTGTTAAATGTTGCAGTGAGCAATACTCCAATTATATGACGAAAGTCTGAAACTAACAGTTGAATTGTTAAAAATATCCCTTCCCTCATTTAAACACAAACATGAACAGCTGGGGAACAAACCTTACAGTGTACAACCCACCATAAACACTTCAACAATCAATACCTGCCTGTGTATTATACACCAAACCACTCAAACATTTGTTTGTGTGTACTAACATCAAAATAACATTATGAAACTGTTATTTAGAGTTTTCAGGTATCATACTATCAACCTTAGGCCTACTTACACTTAGAGGGATTTTCTGGGTCAGATGCATACCGGACCATGTTGATGGATCTGCAAAGAAAATACTAACGATTAACTAACTGTAAGTTAATTATGTTAATTGCAAAATTGCAAGCAGAAAATGGAAACGATAGGGCCAACAGTGTGTATCATTATGTATTTACAAATTTCATGATTGTCACATTGAATATACTTATATTTGTTTGTAGTTGAATGCTGCACTCAGCAATATTCCAGCTGTATGGCAGTGGTCTGTATATAATTGTGTCTGGACCAGACAATCCAGTGATCAAGAGCATGAGCATCCATCCACACAATGAGATTACAATGACATCTCTCAACCAAGGCCCGTCAGTCATCTCTTACAACAACCATGAGTTGTTCAAGACCAATTCACACCCAAATCTTCACAGGTAGAATTATACAAGGAGCATGCCATCAACAATTATGATAAAACTGTGATCCAACAATCATAAGTCTTTATTCCCACAGATCTGTTTATCTGCATACCTTCTTTTATGAGTGAATGAGACTGGTTGACTGCCTTTTATGATTTCCAACCACTAGTTTTCAAAGAAATAATCCAACATAGATCATGTAACCTCAGGAAATTTTGTAAATTAATATTAAATCAAATTTGAGGAGAAAATGGCTGGTTCATATGCACATGAAGGTTGATAGCGCCTGTGTTCTGAAATAAAGTGGCACTTCCCTAGGCAGAGAAGCACTATGGATTTAGGCAAAACCGAGGATGGAAACTCAACCTATCGACTATATCATGTGCATGGATTGCTAAAACAAACATTCATCTTCAAAACGAAACACGTACCTCCTCTAAAAACGACTCATTTTATTACTTAAAAGCCTTGACACCTAGCGCCCCCAATCATCCAGTATTTGTTGGCCATACTGTTATGGTACTTAGCAGTTGAATAAAAAGTGGAAACGCATTAAAACGGATTTACAAACAAATAGAAACTGCTAAAAAGTTTGTTACCCTTCCCTCTACTTCAAAGCGTCATGTAATGACAGTCCGTTCAATACGATTCTGTTTTTTTTATACAACTGCTAATTACCATAACCAAAATGACCGACAAATGGTGGAAAGTAGGTGGGGTCTCTATGTTTCAGGTCATTCAAGTCATAAAGTGAGTCGATCTTAGTGGAGGTAAGTGTCCCGTTTTGAAGAGGATTGTTTGATTCAGCAACACGTGCACATGCATCAGTCGACAGGTTGAGTTTTCATTCTTGTTTTTTGCCTAAAACCATTCCACTCAAATTTCTTGTGGAAAGGAGCGTCAAACAAAATGCACTTGCTGTATAAACTCGATGTAGGCCTTGGCTTGAATACAAGTTTATCCATATAAACTACCACTAGCCTAGCTTTGGGAAGCGAGTTAAATTGTCTGTCAGAATTGAAATCTGGAAAAAGTACACTCATCAAAAGCACTACAACCACATCAACTTTGTCCCATGCAAAGGCCAACTGAAATCATTTCTGGCATTATGGATAGAATTTAATCATTTTCACAACACATAAACAGCCGCTTGCACCCCATATTGTAACCCCTCCCTCTATCTCCCAAACATACTCTTGTAATAGATTGACCTTCCAAGAAGGGTTATGTATGGAGTATAGTATCATTAGTATCTTCATTTTAGTTGGATAAAACTCTGTCTTGCACATCTCTGGACAGTCCGTGCACAACATATTTTAATACCTGTTAATTATTACCTGTTAAACTGAATTATGCAACGTACATGTGAAACGAATGCCGTATTAGTTCTTGTCAGTTATATTCATACTTCAGCTAATGTTGACATGTTTACATGCTGTGTCGATGCATCCATTCCAACTAAAACTCGAATTACAGACTTTCCAGTAATTTCTGCCCCGAAATATAGTTTTCACCCATGTATATATAACCCATGAGTAGGATATATGTCAATTTAATGCGAATTATTCTGTTTTAGTAATGTGATTGAAGGATTTTAGAAAGTGTCGGATATGTGATAATTTCACGAACCTCGGTTTTACCGGAAGAGGAAATTGAAAGGGCGATTTGTGGGTAATAGAGAATCTCGTGTCTCGAACATTCTCGCGTTATCTCGTCTAAATATAATACATTCAAATTTATGCATGAATAATATATCCGCATTTCATTGGTCCAAACAGAAATGAATATTTATGAGAAAAACAGGTGCTCGTACGTCACTTCCGGTAACTATGGGATATATGTACATTTCCGTGTCTGTCAACCCGACTGGATCGCGGAGTTGAGTGGGTGGAAGCAATTTCAACATAATTTTGCCGGGGCGTTTTATCGTTCATTTTGGTTACTCATGGTCTAAGACGTTGCTTTGCATCAACAACACACAGCCATGCCTCTGAAAAATCCTATGAATTTGACCATATCGGTCGCCGAACCCAATCAAGAATCGGGCGAGTAAGTGTAAAGTGACAACTGGTAGACACATTGGTTTGGTACTGGTACTTGCACCTTGAATGTTGTCTGAATCAGAAGCGTGGTTTAGAACGACGTAAAGGCATATGTTTCAACAGTGGAAAGAAATATTTAAGCATCTTTTATAAGTAGTTTTGATATAAAGAAGGGTCAGGTGGGCACCCAATGTTTCTAATTCCTCCATAATTCCTGTCATATTTGAAATAGTTCGCATCTGTTTTTAAATGGTCTATACCATCTGTGGCATGGGAATTCTTCAACTGGTGTAAACTGGATTATTAACTCGAAATGAGAGCAAGTTAATATAAGCTGACAATGCTGAACACAACATCAACACTGTGATCACTGCATTACTAACAGTCACTATGTGCAAGATTTGTTTATAAATGCTGTTAAGCATTATAAATGCTATTAACATCTTAAGCTGTTATACTGTGCACAACACCAATCTGCTAGTTTTCTAACGAACTGCTACCCGTTAAGATCTGGCTTAGAATTGGTCTTCAGTAACCCATGCTTCTTGTAAGAGGCAACTAAAGGGATCAGGTGGTCAGGCTCGCTGACTCGGTTGTGTAGATCAATGCTCATGCTGTTGATCACTGGATTGTCTGATCCTTATTTGATTATTTACAGACCACCACCATATACCTGTTATATTAATTGCTGAGTGCAGTGTTAAACAATAAACAAACAAATTCTAATTGACTGCTGCATATACAGTCCTATTTCATGTTTATACTCAGTGAAAGAAGTTGAGGAAGGACAATGTACACAATATGTAAAAATATTAATTAGAATTTATGAATGAACACAACAAGTAGAAGGACAAGGCATATGAAATTAGTTTGACCTTTGTTTTCATTCTGATACTTCACTAGTGTGTTTTGAATGGCTGTATTCCATTTTGACCTGATGCAAGAGCCTTTATTACCAAATGGGCTCTTCTGTTTTGGCACTGATGAATTTTAATTGGCATCTATTTAATTCAGTATTTGTTAAAACATAGTAAAATTAATAAAAAGCCCTTGGGTTTATTTTGGTATTTAAGAGATAAATACAGTGTACTTCTGTTTTTGTTTTTCGATCACCTTCATGTGTGATGAAATAATATGACTGATTCTATTTACATCAGAAGCTTTTATTTCTGTCAAATTATCAAATATCTTGTCAGTACTAATTGTTTTGACAGCCTCTATTATTTCGTTGATTTGTTTCTTTGTTGTTTAACACTGTAGTCAATGATATTTAAGATAATCCTGTCTATGACATATGTCACACCCTGTTGTAATGTTTACAAAGACGAAGTTAGCTGTAATTTGTTTTAAAAATAAATCAGTGAAAGTCCCCTATGTTATACAGAACTACACCACCGCAGTGTTAGTTGATGCCAATAATTAAGTTCAACTCATACTCAAGTAAGTGTGAATTAGTCCAGTGAAGGTAAGCTTCTGAACCTGTGCCACTCTATTTTGTACACAAAAGCTCATTCAACACATCTTCTCCCCTCATTTGTACTGCAGTTTGGTTTCACTGAAGTGGAAACTAGGAAGCTAGGACACTTAGTATGCTGTAGAGACAGGGTCAACTAGTGGTTAAAGAGTTTGCTTGTCACGCCAAAGACCTGGGTTCGATTCCCCACATGGGTACAATGTGTGAAGCCAATTTCTGGTGTTCCCTGCCATGATATTGCTGGAATATTGCTAAAAGCGGCGTAAACCAAAATACAGGGTTAATCAGTGGTAAATGTTGCAGGGGTACAGTTACCCGAGAAACTCAACATCTTATGAGTGAGTGAGTGAGTTTAGTTTTATGCCGCACTCAGCAATATTCCAGCTATATGGCGCCGGTCTGTAAATCGAGTCTGGACCAGACAACCCAGTGATCAACAGCATGAGCATTGAACTGCGCAATTGGGAACCGATGACATGTGGTCAACCAAGTCAGCGAGCCTGACCACCCGATCCCGTTAGTCGCCTCTTACGACAAGCATAGTCGCCTTTTGTGGCAAGCATGGGTTGTTGAAGACCTATTCTACCCCGGATCTTCACGGGTCTCAACATCTTATGACATTTTAAAGAAGGGCATGAAAATCACGAAGAAAGCATTTATGGCTCTTTCTGTAAAGCACCTTAGAGTAGTTTAGTTCCTAAATCATAAAGGACACTGTACATATTTTGTATATGATAATTATCCTATTTTTAAAGTTGTTTCAAATATTGATAATGGTGACTTCAGAGCAGGGGCCGGCGGGATAGCCTAGTGGTTAAAGCGTCCGCTCGTCATGTGAAGGCATGGGTTCGATTCCCCACATGGGTAGAATGTTTGAAGCCAATTTCTGGTGTACCCCGCTGTGATATGGCTGGAATATTGCTAAAAGCGGTGTAAAACCAAACACACTCACCCACCCACTTCAGAGCATCTTTATGATCATAGACTGTGTCACGATTCTTTGTGAATCTTTGAAACTCACCAACCTTTTAGTATTTCTTCGTGGATCTTTGTAAGCACATCAGATATCATACTTTAAACAACCCTGGTTGAATTCAGGGTTAAAGTAGGTCCACAGTAACCTATCCTTGTATGGATAGATGTTTGAATCGTCAAGCTTGTTATACATTGCTACATATGAGATTTATTAGGTAACGTTTTCTCACATAATTCAACATGTTGACTGAAGTAATTTCATATGGGTGTAATTTTCATTTGATCTGTTACATGTACATGTACTGAATAGATAATCAGTTCTGGAAGCAGTGATTGAAAACTAATCAAGGTGTGTTAGATGGAGCTACAACAGTTAATTATTCATGGCTGTCATCATATGTCGGACACTTTCAGAATGTTAATTGTCTGAGATAAGCTAGCAAGTACACACTGAAGGCATATGTGTAGGTCTTTGTTCCTTACTTTGCCTTTTACATTTCTATTCCTTTTCTATTTTGTAAAAATTTGGTTGGTAGTGAGGTGAGATGAAATTGGGCTGGAGAATATTTTGCTCATATGACGACGTGCATGCGTGTTTATGTGTAGTTACGGCTGCTTGTACTAGCTGGTTTTATAGTACTAGCCCACTGAGATACCATGCCGCAGTGAAGCATGAATACCCCACTCAGACACATTATACTGACTCCAAGCCGACCAGTCCTTGTTGTACCCATTAATGCCGAGCGCCAGACAGGGACCAACAAGTACCATATTTTAACATCTTTTGGTATGACGCGGTTGGGGATCGAACCCACGACCTTCCGCTCTCCGGGCGGACGCTCTAACCACTACACCACGGAGGCGGTCTGGGTTGGTAGAGGGAATGAGTGGGGCGGGATGAGTGAGTAAGGTTTTGTGCGGCTTTTAGCAGTATTTCAGCAGTGTCACTGAGGGGGCACACCAGAAATAAACTTCATGCATTGTACTCATCATGAAAATTGAACCCGGGTTCTTACATATGCATAATTTGTTACAGTGACATAGTTTGGTTTTTGTCTTTTTCACTATTATATTACAGTATTCATCTTCTTAAGTGGAGAGAAAAGATTTCAGTGAGTGAGTTAAGTTTTAAGCTGCCCTCTGCAATATTCCAGCTATATGGCTGCGGTCTGTAAATAATTGAGTCAGGACCAGAAAATCCAGTGATCAACAGCATGAACATTGATTTACGCAATTGGGATATGATGCCATGTGTCAACCTACCGGTAGTCAGCAGGCATGACCACCCGATCCCGTTAGTCGCCTCTTATAACAAGCTTGGGTTACTGAAGATCAATTCTAACCTGAATCTTCACGGGTCAGAACTCACAGAATTCTTACCTGATTGTTTGGCTGCTGCAGTTATCAAGGTTTTGTTAGACTCATTATAGCAGTGTAACGAATAATACTGAGCCTAAGTTTACTTAGACTGCTACCATAATGTAAGGTGGTGTGGTTCTTGTGATCTGTTCATTGATAGAAGATTTTAAGGGCGACACGTAAAGCCATCAACAGAAAGTTATGGTTGTTGTCAAAGCTTGAAATGTTATTTTCAACCGATAAATCTCCACTAGTACCCTGAATGCCTCACCGCCCGGCCCGATTATTGTATTACCTCCCTTTGCTGGCTTTTCATCCAATCATGCGTCTACGCTGGGAAGTTGAGCGTACCAATCACAAAAGGCTTCTCTCATTACTCACTTCCACTTCTTTTATCTAGCTGATCAAACTTGGCAACACAATTGTTGCAGAGGTTCTCTGAAAGAGGTAGAAGGAGTTCTTGCTTTTTTCTTTGAAGGTTTCAGATCTGTCAATGTGTCTGTATGAATTTTCCCTAAATCTGAGTCGCACAGCGAGCAAACCTTCAGCGGCTTTGGTCGACATCTTTGTTGACACTGGCAAGCACGGTTGTAACGGCTAATCTGATTGGCTACTGTGAGAAGGTGGTGCCGGCAAAGGGAGGTAATACAATTATCGGACCAAGCCCTAGATGCGTCCAGGGTAGATTTATTGGAACAGATACCCTGGAGATTATCGAGAATTTTCATTGAAGTCAACTTCATTACCTTTAGAGGAAGGATGAACTTATAATGTATTAAGTACATGTTTTCAGTCGACAAAACAATGGTGCCGCCAACTTAGAGGCTCTTCAACAGAAATTAAAGGAACTGGACATAGATGACCAACAGAGAGAAAGATTAGAGCAGTTCCTCACCCAGAAGCAGAGGGTTGGAGAGCTTGTTGAGGAGGATTTCGAGAAGCTGGGTGAACTCGGTGCCGGGAATGGAGGAGTAGTCACCAAAGTCCGTCACAAGCCCTCAGGACTTATCATGGCTCGAAAAGTAAGTACTCCTTGCTATTGATGTTGGTTTAATAGAAATCATTTATTTCTTTTCATTGTAGATATCTATACCCTTACTTATAAGGTACTTATAAGAGCTCAGGTCACAAATCAGTTGAAGTTAGGCAACGTTGGATGCGGAGCGTCCTTGGATGGGTGACCATGTTTGGCAGCTTGACTCCTGAGAGTTTCTAGGACTTCAGTCCTTCCCCAAAACGAAGCACATGTGATACATGTGGTCTCACCTTAGGCAATTGAGTTTGTTCAAAATTGCCTCTGTTCTCCCAGCAGAAAATGGGTACCCGGTGGGATAAGTCATGTGACTATAACCTTCTAGCACCTAACAGGCAGCTTGGGTTATCTAGGGTAATAATGTGTTAGCACTTTGAGCATGCACAAGTGTGTGGAATAAGGCACTTTATAAATGGCTATTATTATTATTTATTATTATTACTTTTAAATGTGTAGGAGTGGTGGGGACGCCAAGTGGTGAACATGTCTGTCACGGCAAAAAAATGTTTTGATTCTCCAACCTCGATTCCTCACATTAATATGCAAGTTCAGCTCTCCCTGTATAAACCTGCAGTGTTTTGAATTTGGAGTTCTTTATCAGCATATGTGCTCCGACTTCTTTAGCAGTGCATTAAAAATGGAAATATAAGGTAGCCATGATTAAGCTGCTCCTTGTAAGTTGGTCTGTTTGTATTAGTTCAAATCTGTGTCTTCCAATGTATTTCTCAACCACCTGCTTATGACAGATGTAAAAAATATCGGCTATACGTCACAAATGTTCCTTAGGAATGGAGCTTGGTACTGCATCTTGAGGATTTGTAAACTGAATTTGATGGCTTGGTTTGCCTATTCTCAAAGTGTACCCGTGAAGGTCCGGGTTAAAATATTGGCCTTTAGTAACCCGTGAGAGGTTAACCCGTATCGTAAGAGGCGACTAACGGGATCGGGTGGTCAGGCTCGCTGACTTGGTTGACACATGTCATCGGTTTCCAATTGCCCAGATCGCTGCTCATGTTGTTGATCACTGGATTGTCTGGTCCAGAGTCGATTATTTACAGACCGCCGCCATATAGCTGGAATATTGCTGAGTGTGGCGTAAAACTAAACTCACTCACTCACTCTCCAAGGTGGAATCTTTTAAATGACCACCATGTCAGATTTCAGGTTGCTGGAGATCAAATTATGAAACATTGGTTTTTAGTTAATGAAATCTGTGATTTATTTCTTGAAAAATGTAAGTGTTTTCCTATCATTTTTGTTAGACTGTCAAGGTCACTTTGATGTTGATTCACTTGTGAAATGGGATGAGTTGTAAATAATGTGATGTAATATAATGATTTTATATTTGTGAAACACCCTTATTTTCCAACAAGTAATGGTATCACATTGAATGTATGATATTGAAGGTCAGGGTCACCGTGCCTGAGGTGAACAAAGCTTGTATATAAGACGACTTCAGTATTTGTTATTTGAGGCTTGGCAGGGAAGCCTAAAAGATAAAACCCTGTTTCGATTCCGCACATAAGTACAATGCATGATTTCCATTTCTTTTGTGTACTGCTGTGATACTGCTGGGATATTGCTAAAAGCAGGTTAAACTAAACTCACTTCCCTCACTCACTTGTCATTTGAATTTGATGATTGAATGAGTTCAGATGTCCTCAAGGCAGGACCTCAGTCACTTCCACCTTCTGGAGACCTCCATTCAATGTCTGGGTCAGTAGAGGTTGTATAATTAATGAATGTAAAAATGTTTGGGAAAATATTACCGAAAATTGAAACATTTTTTGCCTTCAGTTGATATCTACTGTGTGTCTTAATACGCTGTTCGCATGCACTTATTTACATACCAGTGCGAACATACCCACATTTGTAGAGAACCGCCTTCGTGGGGTAGTGGTTAGAGCATCCACCCGGCGAGAGGAAGGTTGTGGGTTCGATCCCTAGCTGCGGCATACCAAAAGGCATTAAAATATGGTACTTGTTGGTCCCTGCCAGGCACTCGACATTAATGGGTATAACATGGCTTGGAGTCAGTATAATGTGTCTTGAGTTGGGTATTCATGCAGCATGGTATGTCAGTGTGCTGGCACTATCAAACCAGCTTCAGTCTGGGCTAGTACAAGCAGCCATACATACACACACATGCACGTCGTCATTATGAATGAAATATTCTTAAGTACAACGTGAAGCCCCATTTCACCTCACCTGTATCACTGACAGAGGATTATGGCCAGAAAAGGTAGACCTGGAACTGAGAGTAAGGTGATTGTTTCAGTTGATTCATCTGGAGATCAAGCCGGCTGTCAGGAACCAGATATTCCGGGAGTTGAAAGTCCTTCATGAATGTAACTCCCCATATATTGTGGTTTCTACGGTGCATTCTACAGTGATGGGGAAATCAGCATTTGTATGGAATATATGGTGAGTTTGTACTTATTTAAGGAATACATGACTTGTTTGTATTTAGGGAATACATGGTGGGTTTGTGCTTCTGTAGGGAATACATGATGGGTTTGTACCTCTATAGGGAATACATGGTGGGTTTGTACCTCTGTAGGGAATACATGATGGGTTTGTACCTCTGTAGGGAATACATGATGGGTTTGTACCTCTGTAGGGAATACACCTCTGTGGGAATGGGGGTTTGTACCTCTGTAGGGAATACATGGTGGGTTTGTACCTCTGTAGGGAATACATGATGGGTTTGTACCTCTGTAGGGAATACATGATGGGTTTGTACCTCTGTAGGGAATACATGATGGGTTTGTACCTCTGTAGGGAATACATGATGGGTTTGTACCTCTGTAGGGAATACATGATGGGTTTGTACCTCTGTAGGGAATACATGGTGGGTTTGTACCTCTGTAGGATGGGTTTGTAATAGGGAATACATGATGGGTTTGTACCTCTGTAGGGAATATGTGGTGGGTTTGTACCTCTGTAGGGAATACATGGTGGGTTTGTACCTCTGTAGGGAATACATGGTGGGTTTGTACCTCTGTAGGGAATACATGATGGGTTTGTACCTCTGTAGGGAATATGTGGTGGGTTTGTACCTCTGTAGGGAATACATGAGAATACATGGGTTTGTAATAGGGAATACATGATGGGTTTGTACCTCTATAGGGAATACATGATGGGTTTGTACCTCTGTAGGGAATATGGGTTTGTGGGTGGGGTTTGTACCTCTGTAGGGAATACATGTACCTACCTCTGTTAGGGAATACATGATGGGTTTGTACCTCTATAGGGAATACATGATGGGTTTGTACCTCTGTAGGGAATATGTGGTGGGTTTGTACCTCTGTAGGGAATACATGATGGGTTTGTACCTCTATAGGGAATACATGATGGGTTTGTACCTCTGTAGGGAATATGTGGTGGGTTTGTACCTCTGTAGGTCACACATGTGTCTGATCATAGATTGTTAATGGCTCTACCAAGAATAACAGTTACTGTGTTGTTGCAGGATGGAGGTTCACTAGATCTGATACTGAAGAGAGCTGGAAGAATACCAGAACCAATACTTGGTGTCATCAACGTTGCAGTGAGTAGCTGGCAGCAAACCTAAACTTTGGGGTCTTGTACCAGGGTAGATAGTACAACACCAGAGTGTTATCTTGGTAGATTGTTATGTACCAGGGTGCAGGTTGTCCTGTCCTAGGCTTCACATTCCTGATTGGTTTGTTTTGTATCAGTGCTATTCTTTGATGGGCTGTCCTGTACCTTGGTGTATTTATTAGTGGTTTGGCTTGTACCAGGAACCCAGAATTGGAATTAGAATTGGTCTTCAGCAACCCTTGCTTGTCATAATAAGAGTCAACTAACTGCTGAATGTGGCAACAAACAAACTTGTAGCTGGATGTATTCCTGCATTGGTTGTCAACCAGAATGTATACTGTATACAAGACAACCAGTATATATACTGTATACAACACAACCAGACTGTATACTGTATACAAGACAACCAGACTGTATACTGTATACAAGACAACCAGACTGTATGCTGTATACAAGACAACCAGAATGTATACTGTATACAAGACAACTAGAATGTATACTGTATACAAGACAACCAGACTGTATACTGTATACAAGACAACCAGACTGTATGCTGTATACAAGACAACCAGAATGTATACTGTATACAAGACAACCAGACTGTATACTGTATACAAGACAACCAGAATATATACTGTATACAAGACAACCAGAATGTATACTGTATACAAGACAACCAGAATGTATACTGTATACAAGACAACCAGAATGTATACTGTATACAAGACAACAGAATATATACTGAATAACCAGACTGTATACAACCAGAATGTATACTGTATACAAGACAACTAGAATGTATACTGTATACAAGACAACCAGAATATATACTGTATACAAGACAACCAGAATGTATACTGTATACAAGACAACCAGTATATATACTGTATACAAGACAACCAGAATATATACTGTATACAAGACAACCAGAATGTATACTGTGTACAAGACAACCAGTATATATACTGTCTACAAGACAACCTGCTGTAGAAAATGATTCAACAATCCTTTAGTAATGCTAGTTGGCATATGTGCTCACCATCGACTTGTAACCTTGGTAATGAAATATGTTTCTTTGGTTTCAGGTTTTAAAAGGTTTAAGTTATTTGCGGGAAAGGCACCAGATTATTCACAGAGGTAGGTTTAAGGATGAATAGATAAGTAATTTATGCCATTTGGGTCTTTTGTCAGGAGAGTTCAATGCTCAACATATGTATGATTGTACACTGTCCACTCTCAATAATCTTTCATAATCTATTTGGCATGTTCAATCTCTGACATACTTCATGTGCCTGTGAAGATTCTGTGTCTTGTTGGTGATGTGTTTTTAACTCATCTGACTGAAAGTCAACTCAGCTTCTGTCATGTCCCATTGGTTCATCTACATCGTACATCCAGGCATGTAGCAAGCTTGCAAAACTTTATTATACCCCCGCTACGAATTTACGGGGGTATATAGCGTTCATTCTGTCCGTCCGTCCGTCCCGAAACTTTGTCCGGAGCATATCTCTTAAAGTTTACATGCTAGGTTCACCAAACTTCACACACATGTTAATCATGACCCATTGATGTGCCTTTTGCTATTTTAATTTTTTTTCAGAATTTTGTTTTTTTGCTGTTTCCATGGAAACACGACTTAGTGCCAAATGTGTTTGATGGTTTTGTCCGGAGCATATCTCTTAAAGTTTACATGCTAGGTTCACCAAACTTCACACACATGTTAATCTTTACCCATTGATGTGCTTTTTGTTATTTTAAAGTTTTTCAGAATTTGTTTTGTTGTTGTTTCCATGGAAACATGACTTGGTGCAAAAATATGTTTGATGGTTACCTGGCCACAGCATATGATCGAAACTATACATGCTAGGTTCACCAACCTTAATACACAAGTTAATCATGACCCACAGATATGCCATGTGCTAAAAAATATTTCATATACGTCCACTTCATTGTGTGCAACAAGTTCAATTGTGTGTCAGGTTTCCACGGAAAACACAAAAAAAGTAATGTTTCCATAAATTATTACTGTAATCAGTACATGGCAAAACAATTATCTAACATGTATATAAAGTTTAGTAGAGTCAAGGAGAAAGTCTTGTGAGCTGCTGATCCTTGTCACATTATATATATCAATATCAGTCATTTCCATGTCCCAAAGTGGGAAGCGGGGGTATGTGAGCTGTGCTCACTTTTACACTTGTATTTAGATAGTATTGAGGGCTTGCCCAACTGTGTTAGCACCAATCATGTGTAAGCCCGGGCTTGTTTTTATAATGGTAGCTGCGCCCCTGACATTATGTACCTCTTATATACCTTTCCGCAGCTGAGGATTGCATGAATCAGTGTTTATGACTTTCATGACTGGTCTCTCTGGTCATGATTCTATTATTTATGAAATGCCACCATGGTAGCCTTTTGAAAAATCCATTTATGCCCATTACTCAGGGATCTGTGTTCAGAATGCCATAAAATGTAATGTATTTGTAGTTAGTAGTGGGTCTCAACATGTTTCGTTTCGAGTGTGTATTTTGACCTTTGTTTGACATATGATATCTATTAACGATATTACTTTCTATGCATTTACTGACACTAAAACATTATGAACGTATCTGACAGTGGTTTGATTTGTAGAAAATAGCACAACGGTATGTCATCTATTTATGTTACCTCACATTAAACTATTAGCTTTTGATTTAAGAGCAGGAAATACATTTGTCATTTAGCGTACTCAAAGGTGGCAAGTCCACAGAGAAAGCATATCAGAAAACATCTTAAGTCAATTGCTCATGTTGCATAAGTATTGATGTTCATATCACGCATAAGTATGAGTAGATGATCATCCAGTTGTTTTGGATAAAGGGAAGTAACTCTGTTTGCATCATCTGCTACAAGTTTGTGTGAAACTGTGGACATGTTCCTGACCTTTATGAACTGATGTCAGTTACATGAGATCTTTGTGATTTGGTGTGATGTACCCAGCGTGTGAGCCTGTCAGCTTGGGATATATCATATATAGACATGTGTAGAGTGTCACTCACTCCATATATCCTTTGAGGTCACTTAACAACTATAAATGTATTCATGGATGTTTTTTTAACACCAGTAGAATGTATCGATGTGATACATACTTTTCCCTGATTATACAGATGTGAAACCCTCCAATATCCTGGTCAATTCAAGAGGAGAGATAAAGATCTGTGATTTTGGAGTCAGTGGTCAGTTGATAGATTCCATGGCCAACTCCTTTGTAGGAACACGGTCCTATATGGCGGTAAGTTGACGCTCACATAGTCCTGCATCATGTATATGAATGTAATATTATACTCGGGGTAGCCTAGTGGTTAAAGCGTTGGCTCCTCACGCCGAAGACCCGGGTTCGATTCCCCACATGGGCACAATGTGTTAAGCCCATTTCTGGTGTCCCCGCCGTGATATTGCTGGAATATTACTAAAACGGCGTAAAACTAAACTCACTCACTCACTCACTCACTCACTCACTCACTCACTCACTCACTCACTCACTCACTCACTCACACACACACACACACACACACACACACTCACACACACACACACACACTCACTCACACCATTCACACCTATGCGCCCATTATGATGGTGACAATTCATTTGTCTCGTGTGGGCTCACTTATGTCACTATTTATAACACAACTCAGTCAGTCAGTCAGTAATATTATACTCACACAGTCCTATACGGCAGTAGGCTGATGGTCTTAGTTTAGCATTGATGTGAATGTGTTCTGTCAATAGCCGATGAGGATCCTGGTTAGAATTGACCTTTCAGCAACCCATGCTTGTCATAAAAGGCAACTAAAGGGATCAGGTAGTCTGGCTCACTTGTCATTGTATCCCAATTGTGTAGATCGATGCTCATGCTGTTGATCACTGGGTTGTCTGTTCCTGACTTGATTATTTACAGACTACTGTTGTATAGCTGGAATATTGCTGAGTTAAACAACACAGAACAACAATATTCTGTCAATATATTCTAAGTGAAAGTATTAATCGAAACAAGAAGCCAAGTTAGTGTTTTTCAAATGAGTCACCTGGTTGTATGTTAAGTGGATAACCCGTGATGGTCCAGGTTAGAATGAACCTTCAGTAACCCATGCTTGTCGTATGAGGCGACTAATGGGATCGGGTGGTCAGGCTCACCGACTTGGTTGACACATGTCCTCGGTTCCCAATTGTGCAGATCGATGCTCATGCTGTTGGTCAATGGATTGTCTGGTCCAGGCTCGATTATTTACAGACCGCCGTCATATAGCTGGAATATTGCTGAGTGCGGCGTAAAACTATACTCACTCACCATTAAGTGGATATGTTGAGCATGGCTCCTGGTGCTGCCTCAAGGGTTGACTGTGTATGACTTTGAATCAGGTTTCATGGTTTGATGTTGTTGGTCATCCATGGAGATTCTTATGAACAATTGGTCTTGCTACATATAGTTTGTGCTATCTTTTGATGATGTTCGCCATATCCCATGCAATTTGGCAGCTGTTTCCCAGTTTCAGGTCTGGTGTCTTGTATACAGTATACAGTATATCAGCATAACCAGACCTGTTCTTGGCTCCGTGATAGCAAGCATGATATTGTGATAGGTGTAGAGGTAATGCTAGTCAACTTCTGGGTTTCTGTATGCAAATCAGTTTTAAAGTATTCCATTTACCCATACAAGGGTAGACTTGTGCATCATGAAGTGTATTTGTGATGTATCAGTGTATGTTCGTCCTTGACTTTGTGATGCGCCGTTGAACAGCTTCGAGTTTGATACCAGGCCCCATAGAAATCTGTTATCATTATTATTATTATCATACCCCTACTGTTTGCTTCAGTAGAATATTGTTGCTTGACAGCCGGAGCGTCTCCAGGGCACACATTACTCTGTACAGTCAGACATCTGGAGCCTGGGGTTGTCCCTGGTGGAGATGGCTATAGGCAGGTACCCAATCCCACCTCCTGACCCCAAGGATCTCAACAGTGTGTTCGGGGAGAACGTCATGGTGGAGCACATGGAGGCCGCCAAGTCAGGGAAGCCTTTGAGAGGTCAAGTACATTTTGTATCTGTAATATTGAGTTCATCGACTTGATTTTGGACCTTTAGAATACCATAATTATTCGAGATTATAAGCGTGTGTTTGTTCCTCAGTAGAATCAGGGAGGTTTCAATTCTGAGTTCTAGTTAACAGTTTGTATAATTGTGACTTTGTGAAACATGACTGCACTACTCAAATATGTTTGTCTGTTTGTCAGCGTCTTTCTGTTGAGCAGTAAGTATATGAAATCTGTAACATTGAATCATAGACATCATGGTGGAATCTTGAAACTACAAGACTTAAACTGAAATAGTATATTCCATTATCTTTAACACACTTCTTATGGACTTTGTATCATTCTTCATCATGAATGTGACCGACAATATGCACTGACTTCATCATGAACACAGGACTGACATTGTATGTTGCCTTCATCATGAACAGCACTTCATTGAACATTGCTTTCATCATGAACACAGGACTGCCATTGTACATTGCTTTCATCATGAACAGGACTGTCATTGTACATTACTTTCATCATGAACAGGACTGCCATTGTACATTGCTTTCATCATCATCATTGTGAACATGAACAGGACTGCCATTGTACATTGCTTTCATCATGAACAGGACTGCCATTGTACATTACTTTCATCATGAACAGGACTGCCATTGTACATTACTTTCATCATGAACAGGACTGCCATTGTACATTGCTTTCATCATGAACAGGACTGACATTGTACATTGCCTTCATCATGACCTGCCACAGGATCGTACATTGCGTTGAAAATTGTTGTACATTGCCTGGATAATAGGATCAATGTTTTTTTTTCATGATTTATCGCTAGTCTGAGATGAAGAAATCTGCTGTTAACTCAACAAAGCATGTCCACTAACGTTTCTTACTATGAGGGACAATCCATCTCTCAGAATTAACATAGAAACCTTGATGTAACACAAGGAACACACGAGGGGTAACCACAGTTAGTCATTGCCTCGGTCTGATATGTAAGGTACAGGGCTTCCTGAGGTATCATCAACATGGAGAGACTTAGCACTAGTACACAGGTCAAACCAGGATGTTAGTTCACCATTTCGAAAACAAGATGTCACGAAGCTGTAGCATGTGATAGTTGATTAGGGGAAATTCCATGATTTCAGTTATTTGTCTGGGCACAGCAAATAATCATTCTGCACATTGCTATTTTACAGAATTTTACAAAAATTTACCCCAGGTCTGTAAGGCCTTCTAAAATTAATTTACATATTCATTAGAATAGGGATGTCTTGTGGGTTTAGATTGTTATCAGAACCGGAAGTTTTCTGCCTAGTTTTAAGACAGACATCAACAACTGAAGGTGAGCTACAGAACGTGACCTGATGCATGTGACCAAGGACCTACTCTTCATTGTCACCTTGATAATGCATGATTTCCTACAAAGACTTTTTTTCAGCCTTCAAAGTACTTCCTAGATAATGCATATTGAGTGCAAGTGCACTAACCTCATGCCAGGGGTAGAGGCAGCAATGTGTAAATTGTAGTAACTATTTACAGGCTGCCCCGGCGAGTTTGAAATTACAGGAGATGGGCCCCTGCCAATGGCTATATTTGAACTTCTAGAATATATTGTAAATGAGGTAATCTCAATGTCATAATATGGAACCAGTCCACTGTGCAGACTTTGCCATCTTTAAGCACTGTATGAATGAGTTACGAAAACACCTTCCTTCACACACTCATCTGGCACTGGTAGGCGACTATACAACAATGTTGGACTCCTGGTGTGGGAAACTTAAAACCCTTTGTTCATTTGGCCTTTCGGTAGACTTGTCAGCATTCCATTCTAAATTTTGCTTGGGGAAATATTCATGGCATGCATGAATTGGAGCAATACATTTTCCTGTGCTGCATGGCACGACATTTCACTTAGCCGCCTTACAATAATCCTCAAGCTGCCAGCTTAACTGTTACCCAACTCATGTATAACCAAACGCATGATTAGGAAAACGTGGGAAAAGGGCGTGTTCTTTGTTGGTATTCATATTGTCATAATGTTGTATTAGGAAAGACATGTTCATAAAGTCATATGTTCATAAAGTCACATGTTAATAAAGTAACACGTGATAGTCATTTGTTGATAAAGTCACATGTTAATAAAGTAACACGTTGATAGTCATGTTGATAGTCACCTGTTGATAAAGTCAGGTGCTGAGACGGCCACACATTGATAAAGTCATGCGTTGATAAAGTCATGCTTAGATAATGTCATGTTTTGATATAGTCACATGTTGATAAAGGCATATGTTGATAAAGTCACATTTTTATAAAGTAATGCATTGATAAAGTCACACGTTGATAAAGTCACACTTTAATAAAGTTATGTATTGATAAAGTCACACCTTGATAAAGTAATGCATTGATAATGTCATGTTTGATAAAGTTACTCCTTGATAAACTCCCATAGAGTCCGCAGCTTCACTGTTTACGTCTTTCCGACCTTGGGGAAGAGACAAAATTCCCAAGATGCCTGGTACAACCCTGTCTTCCTCATCCATGTTGATGCAAAGGTTCAACTTCTTCCTCTTCATTGACCTATGGGGCAGTGGGGTAGCCTAGTGGTTAAAGCGTTGGCTCGTCACGCTGAAGATCCAGGTTAGATTCCCCACATGGGTGCAATGCGTGAAGCTCATTTCTGGTGTCCCCCTGCCGTGATATTGCTGGAATATTGCTAAAAGCGGCGTAAAACCATACTCACTCACTCACTCATTGACCTACACTGACACGCAGCTTTCCCAAACAATCTATGACAATGAATCCTCAAGCTGTGCACAACAAATAAGGGGTTTATAGATGTAAATAAAACACAAGTTAAGTATTGGGTCTGGAACTCTTTTAAAACATTCCATTACTCCCTTACGGTGTTTGTTCTGTCAGCGTTTCTATGGTAGGAGGAAGGTGTTTTCAGTCTCATGCCCTCAGAATGTTTGTGTCCTCAGATATACTTGACTGTAACATTTCCTACTCAGTAGCCAAATTTCACAAATTTCTTTCAAGGAAGCAGAACAGGCATGTATCAGGGCTTACCCGTATACATACTTGTGTGTCTCCTGTCAAGTCTGAACCAAGGGCAGATAACTCTGATTTCTTGAGGTGGAGGTGTTACGGTGGTCATGTCATCTTGTTTACTGATATATATTTTTTGTTTATTTTTGTTTTTTGCACTTTCTTCTTGCTTTCTAGGCAGCCGAAATAGCTATGTATGCCCGCCGGGCGCTGACGCTCCCCGACCCATGGCCATATTTGAGCTTTTAGATTACATTGTGAATGAGGTATGTTAAGTGAGGGAGATGCGGCAGTATATCTCTATCTGCGTATACCGTATAGTCACAGAGAGCTGTCAGGTACTCTGTGTCTCAGATGTTGCACCATTCATTTCCACTTTTCTGTTACTGGTATTTCTGTGTGAAATCAGTTAAGTTTTACCCCATTGTTTGCTGTGAGATTCTATTCATTCAAATTTCATCACTTGCTTGAAAATTGCACCCAGATCTTGATTTTGTTAATTTGCAACAAAATGTTTTATTTTGCACAAGTCATGCCATTTCATCATGGAAGAGCTCTTACTCCCTGTCTTAAGAAGTGAACAATAGTTCAGGGCAGTCTAAATGACGCTTGTTCACTTAGAAACGTTTTGATACCCACTTTCCTTATTCAGTATTTTCTACTTTTAATCAAGACTTGTCCAACATCCTCAATGGCGCCTTGCTGTTCCTACCAGTGATCCTTCCCAAACCAAGAATTACTTTAACTGTTTCGACACTGATTTCTCTTTTATCAATCCTTTCTCATTTCAATTTGCTGAAACATTGCTTATCTGTTTTGATTGTCATGCACAACAATCCCTTCGTCTGGTCCTCTCCCTTCCAATCTACTTCCATAATTCATTTGCTCTCGCATGACCTGACAAGCTCATCTCGAACTGTACGGTATAGGGAGATAGAGGGAGTTATTTGCTATTAACACTGAACTATGAGACCTCTACACGTAGCTAAGTCATCACATCCATATCAACACTCTGCACTTCTGTGACCATGTCATGATGTTTTAGTTGATGTTTTCATTTCATTTTCTTTGGTATTTTTGCTGAGTTGTTTTTCTGCATGTCATTTGTTTCTGGATATGCATTGGTCTGAAAGTGGTATCTTACTTTAGTTTGCTGTATGTAGGGTACTAGTGGTGATGTAGTGGGAGCGGGGTTTAAATAGGGTTGTTGGTTCCTGGCTTTGTTTGGGAGGTTGTAGGCTTGAGATGGGTTTAAGGTTGTTATGGGTTAATGGTTTAAGGTGGTTATGGGTTAATGGTTTAAGGTGGTCATGGGCTGATGGTTTAAGATGGGTTTACATTGGTTATGGGCAAATGGTCTGAAATGGGTTTAAGGTGGTTATGGGGTAAGGGTTTAAAATGGGTTTAAGGCGGTCATGGGCAAATGGTTTAAGGTGGTCATGGATGGATGATTTAAGATGGTTATGGGTGGATGGTTGAAGGAGGTTATGGGGTGATGGCTTTAGATGTGTTTTTGGTTTGGGACTGATGATTGGAGGTGGTCATGGGCTGATTGCTTGAGATGGTTTAAAGTGGGTTGTAATCTGATGACTTGGGTTTAAGACTAGTTGCAAACTGATAGCTTGAAATGGGTTTGAAGAGGTGTTTGTTCTATGACTATAGATGGGCTTGAAGATGGTGTGGGCGAATGGCTTGAGATAGATTCAGAGGGGTATGTGTTGTGATGGGTGTAATGTGGGTTGTTTTCTGATGGTTTGAGGTGGGTTGTGGGTTAACAGCAAATTGTGACAGTACTCATCTGTTTTGATTACCTGTCAAGGTGTTTAATTTCTGTGACCTGTTCACGGAATTTCAAAATATTTCAAAACTACGAACTGTATAAATTCAGGCAACTAAATGGTATGTGTACAAAAATATCAAAGACTCATTTGAATGTTTTTGAATCTCTGCAAGAAATGTTTTACATGGAGTTGTAACAGGTTAAGATATCGATCTTGTGTTTTCTTGCTGCACTGACTGTTGTAAAGTTTGGATGTCTACCGTACTGTGTCTTTATAAATCAGCACTAACTTGTACACATGGTTTTAGGTTGATCGTTTCAGTTGTCTGACGGCAAGTACAAAATGTATGCCGAAACCAATCATGCTGTGCTCTTTATGATGGACGATTCTTTTGCATTTGCTTCAAATTTCTTTGTGTTAAAATGTTTAGATGCTTAAATCATGCTCTATAATTGAAGTGCTGTAATAATTTTTGCCATAAGTATGCCCTCAGAACCATTCTTCCTTTACGTTTTTGACTTCTGTTTTGGTAATTGTCCGCACTGTTAGTGCATGTTGAGCATGAAAACGTCGTCTGGTGCTCTTCAACATTCAGCATGTCCGCTCCAAGATTCTAGTCTCATTTTCCTTTTGTTTGTTTGATATGTGGCACACCACTGTGAACATAGAGGTCTCATAACTTGTTTGATTTAAGTATTTCTAGTCATTCACAGCCCAGACCTTGTTTCACGTCTCTGTAATAATGAACAACAACTAGCTGACTCCGTAACATACCTCACATGATGTGGATGATGATGATGATGGTGATGATGATGTCACTACCGTGTGAAATAACATGACTACCAAACCTTTTCTCTCCACACATTTCGTGGTTGGCATGTTGTTGAAGTATCTTATCATTTCTTGGTTGGTAGCTTGTGGTCTTGTGCAGATTTGTTCTACTAGTTAACCCCTCAGTTTTGAGGGTTATAGACCACCACCTGGCTTTCATATTTTGCTATTAGCTATTATATTTGGCTGGTCTTGTTTACTTTGGCAGAATTTACCATAACAGCTTTTAGCTGGTGTCATTCAGTGAGTAAACGTATGCTGTGATGTAGGTTGTGTTGCAGTGAATGTTGTCAAATTGTCCGTGAATTTATGAATATTTGTTCAATTTAGGAAGTTCAACTTTTTTGTTGTATTTATTTCAATGTTTATGTGTCAGGTAGATGATGAGCATGTCCGGTTTTGATTGGTGTACTTTTGCAATGATCAACTTTTGCCAGTAGAACGTATAACCTGTTCAGTCAGACCATGTGTATTGAGTTGTGTTCACACTTACAGGACAGCCAGATGTTTCGGTTAAACATAGTCAGTCTGGCATCTTTTGATAACATGTCCTACTTGAAGAGCTGTTTGTCGTAAAGTCACACAACATTCACAGGGGCGGTGGGGTAGCCTAGTGGTTAAGGTGTTCGCTCGTCACGCCAAAGACCCGGGTTTGATTCCCCACATAGGCACAATGTGTGAAGCCCATTTCTGGTGTCCCCTGTCGTTATATTGCTGGAATATTGCTAAAAGCGGCGTAAAACCAAACTCACTCACTCTCACTCACACCATTCACACCTATGCGCCCATTATGATGGTGACAATTCATTTGTCTCGTGTGGGCTCACTTATGTCACTATTTATAACACAACTCAGTCAGTCTGTTCCTGGGATAGGCAACAGCTGAATTTACTGCAAGGCACTTATGATATCTTCTTTTTGTTGCCATTACTGGATTTCAAGTAGATTTTCTGTTATTTTTTCATCTTTGCCTGATTAAGAGACTTGCCTGCTACAAGAATGCAACAGACATTCTTTACACACACTTGCTTGTACGAGACATTGTCATAAATTCAAGACAGAACGGCCTGAAGGTCCAGGTTTGTTCCCACATGGGGACAATTGGTGAAGCCCTTTGTTGGTGTCCTCTACTGGAATATTGCTAAAAGTGGCATAAAAGCTTGCCTATATATCACCCTGTATGAATCGTGGCTTTAACATGCTGACAAGTGTACAGTTAAGTCAGGGGAATACGGTTTCAGATCATAGAGGCTGCTATTGATCATATTGATGGCACTCAAGACAGGATGTTGTTAGCGGATAATGTGCAGACTTAGACATGTCTTTTTAATGCTTTTGATATTAACATTTCTCTAATTAACAATTGAGTAATCGTTACATGATTAATGTTGATGAACTGAAACATCAGATGGTTTGTACTGACTATCAATTGAAATAGATGTAAAACATTTGTCGGTGCAATAAAGTTTTGTCTTAAATGATATGAATAGCTGAACCAGTTTCAAGTTTGTGAGTGATGTTGATGAAGCTTGGTGCAGAAGAGACCCACCCACGTTGCAGCCAAATACGTGGTACATGTGTGTGCTGATGATTCTGTTGCAGGCACCACCGTCGCTGCCTAAAGGAAAGTTCTCAGAACAGTTTGATGACTTTGTAGAAAGATGGTATGTTGCCCAATCAGTTTCCTGTTTTGTCAATAGTGATGTTTGTTGATTATTTGTTGTCAACAAACAAATGTAAGTTCTGATCCTAACTAAAACTTCCAACATTTCTTCATGATGGGCAAATAATATGCAATTCTAAGATGTGACTAGGTTATTTTTAATATTACACTGTTTTTCTAAAATGAAAAATAAAATATCTTTCCTGATTTTAAGTAGACACAAGTTGAGTCCTCCTGTTGTTGGAGTGATCTCACCTAAAGTCATTTGTGAATTCATGAGCAATGTTTATGTGGCAACTAACGGGATCGAGCTGGTCAGGCTTGCTGACTTGGTTGACACATGTCATCGTATCCCAATTGCGTAGATCGGTGCTCATGCTGTTGATACCTGGATTGTCTGGTCCAGATTCAATTATTTACAGACAGCCATCATATAGCTGGAATATTGCTGAGTGCGTCTTTAAACAACAAACAAAACAAATAGAAATGATTCTCGTTTGAGCTGTAACTTGTGGCAATTTGTTCTACTCTATGGCAGGCATTAGTAGCGTTCACAAAGGTCATGCACAGATTGGCATGATTAGGATTCATTTGATTTGAGTCAAACAAACGCCTCAGTTTCTTGCTTACTTAAAACAATGTCACTAAAACACAGTTTGGCAGCTGAATCTAATGGAGGAACATGATGCAAACATAGATGTAGAACTGACAAAGGGTTGTATGTTGATTTTGTTGTGTACACGGATCATTGTTGAACCTGTGGGAGTGAAATGTATGTGTGTAAGGTAATACTAGCACAAACTGGCACAAACTGGTACAAACTGCTGCTGTGGTGTACCATATTTACTTACTCACAGCATAACAGAGTGCTTTTGCTGAGGTAGTTTAAGTTAACTTGTTAATCTTTTTCACAGTCTGAAGAAGTGCCCCTCTGACAGAGCCGACCTGCAATCTCTTATGGTAAGTCTAGCCTCATGTGTTTCCTCATTAATTAACAACCCGTGAAGATCCGGGTTAGAATGTACCTTCAGTAACCCATGCTTGTCGTAAGAGGGGTTGACGGGATCTGGTGGTCAGGCTCGCTGGCTTTGTTGACACATGTCATCGGTTCCCAATTACGCAGATCGATGCTCATGCTGTTGATCACTGGATGTGTGGTCCAGACTTGATTATTTACAGACCGCCGCCATATAGCTGGAATATTGCTGAGTGCCGCGTAAAACTAAACTCACTCACTCATTAATTAACAATATAAAATGAATAAATGATATTTGTCATACATGTGTACTACACAAGAGAAGTTGAAGACGTGGCAGCGGTTGTACAAACAGAGGTACAGATAAGCTGCGTATCTGTGTAAATTACGCAAATATTTATGTGAACACTCAATTCCTATTAAGTCTATATTCAAGTATGCTTGAATTTTTGTAAATACTCAATAAATGTGATCTTCCGTGCTACACACAAAAATGTCAAATCTTAGCTTGCGTACCGGTGGATAGATAAAATAACTGAAGAGGTTCTATTTCAGGACATGAACTTGATAACTTGCAGTCTTTCTAATCGTTTCTCATATTACAGATCAAATATAAATAGACAGTAACATTTAAACTTTATTATATTTTTACAATTAATGGAAAATGGCAAAATACCCAATTGAGTTTGAGGTGAGTAACAGTTTGGTTACTCAAAAGAAAATTAGGATACCCAATTGAGATGAACACAAGCGAATACATAACTCATTGGCCCAAACAGTTATGTGTAGCTCTGTATTAAACAACCTTAGCACTAAGACTACCTTAATTTTATGTAAGGTATGGGAGTTATGGTCCCATTTGCGCTGAGATCGCTTTGGTACAATGGCACCCTGATTGTTTTCGTTAGACTATAGTTAACCTGTTATTCTTGTTGGTTAGTCGAACACTAAGCTATTAAATGCTGGTGTTTTCATTGTTTTAAAATATTAAATTACCTGTGGACCCATTCTGATATAATGAACATGTCAGTATCTATTTCACACAAATATATCTAAGTGTCCGAGTAATTCAGTTCTCATTTTAAGAAATCCAAAATAGTGACAATTGCAGCTCAAGGTAATGCAAATGAAAACAAATATCCAGTCATTAAGCAGATCGATGTCAATCATCATGCAGCCCCATGTAAATAGGCTTCCTGAACCAAAACACTGACTTTGTTTGCATGAAATGTTTGTATGAGCTGACAGCCATGTTTTCTGCTTGAAGTAATCAAACATGGAATTACAGTCCATTTGGGTTCAACGAGAACGATGAATGATTAAATAACTCGAGATAGGGATAAGTGCACAAAACATAAATAAGACACATGGTCCTGAAACCTCTGTACCCAACAGGATCTGAAATGTGGCGTTTTATGATCGATCACGGAAAAGTTGTCATGTAACATTGTACTATTTTCACGCTTCACACCGAGGGGTGACAAACGGCTGGTACTGTAACAGCACCGGCACGCTCATAACTCAGCACACACCCTACTAGTCAGGAAACGGCCGGCATTGTTCCACCAGCCGTAGCTGATATTAAAGGTTATGCAATTCAAGGTCATTATGTCTGAAATGTGTAAGCCTTTTTGATGACAATTATGATAAACCTGGAATACTGTTACAAATGGTGTTTACCACCCAATCGCACACCCAGAGGCGTGGAAATTGTCCTGCAGTAAACATGTTTTTCCAGACATGAAGTTATTTACCAGGAAGTGCAAGTAAGTTTCTTCTATAGGTAGTTTGATGGGACTTGTTTTTAGGTTGCAGTATATGTTTCTTCGCCAACCGGAAATGATGTTATTTAACTGAAGGTGCATGTGACAGTTTTCATACTCTCAGAAAGAGGGAGGATGTCGCTACTTCTGTTCCTGGTTTTTGAACATAACACTTTACAATCTTATGTTCTTATACCCTTGGGGCAGTGGGGTAGCCTAGTGGTTACAGCGTTCGCTCGTCACGCTGAAGGCCCGGGTTCGATTCCCCACATGGGCTTAATGTGTGATGCCCATTTCTGGTGTCCCCTGCCGTGATATTGCTGGAATATTGCTAAAAGCGGTGTAAAACCCAACTCACTCACTCACTCTTATACCCTTGAAGATCTGGGTTAGAATTGGCCTTCAGCAACCCATGCCTGTCGTAAGAGGCAACGTATCCGAGTTGCACAGATTGATTCTCAATCAACACAAGTTGAATCCTCCTGTTGTTGGAGTGATGTCACCTAAAGTTGTTTGTGAATTCATGTACATTGTTTATATGGTCACTAACGGGATCGGGATCGGGTGGTCAGGCTTGCTGACTTGGTTGACACATGTCATCAGTTCCCAATTGCGTGCATCGATGCTTCAGCTGTTGATCACTGGATTGTCTGGTCCAGACGCGGTCATTTACAGACTGCCATCATATAGCTGGAATATTGCTGAGTGCTGCGTTAAACAACAATCAAACACTCGAACAATCACTCTTCTTCTTTTTTGCAGAATCACAGCTTTGTAAAGAAATGCGAGAGCAGTGAGGAGGTCAATATCGGCCAGTGGGTGTGCAAGGTGATGAGCATCAAGGAGGCCAGCTGAGGACAGAATGACGTCCGTGACAAGTGTGAGCGTGTAGAGTGTATGTGTGACTGAGCATGAATGGGTGTCCAAAGACTGACTGCCAGATAACAACTCCAAGCATCAAAAAGGAAGAAAAATGGCCACTTTTGATTCACAAACAGATCTTACCTTTAATCCTCTGTTTGGAGATTCTAGGTAGTTCTTCTATGTACACATTTATAGCACAATTTATTTTAATATTTTAGTGCTTAAATTCCAGTGCTATAAATTTTAATGTGATAGATTCTAGTAGAAATAACATCCCAATTTGTATCTGTGTGGCAACAGGATGTTTGTCCACACAAATAAGCTAAAAAAACATTGTTGGAAAAGTGCTTCTATTTGTGTGTGGAGTTTGGAGCTAACATCACACTGAAATGAAAATATGCTTCTTACGAATAAATGGTTATGAGTATGCTGTGCTCAAAGTATGTATGTAATCATTTTTGATGATCTTGTAGGTTTATATAGTGAAGTTGGCATTGCACCACATGTTTCTTCTTGAATAAAAGTCATCATTACAGATATAAGCAGCCTTAGAAATCCGTTCTTTTGAAAACAAGTCCAGTGGACTAATGTTTGCCTGTTAGCAAATTTTTTTACAATTTCTTCCTTTTGGTTTGGTCAGATCCAATTGAAAAATTGAGAACTGGTTCAGAATTATTGGTCTTAAATGCTGCTAGTCAGCAAGGATTCCATCAGTGGATTTTATCGTCCTTTGCACAATGTCGTCTTTTGAATCAAGTTGGCATGAGTAACTGGCATGAATTTCTAAGGCTGCATCTCATATTGTTTCTTGAATAAAAGTCCACATCTTTTTGTTAGACTGGAGGTAAGAACATGTTCTAGGTTCGCCTTGATATGAGTAAATCTGTAGGGAACAGTGAGACAGCAGTGGTCAGTGCCAGGCTATTGGACAAGGGCATAGGAAGTAGGGCATCCTCCATAGACACTGGGCTGTATGACCTGTTGCTGTAGACCTACAAGTCTGTAGTCGGACCTTATTTCACTCCATCGTGTGTCTGTGTCAGTGTGTTACGTCAGATTCCACAGGTGTTGTTTGACTATGATGTCTGTCTCCCATCGGATGTGTTTTATCAGATTCCACAGATCTTTCTTTAGAGATATGCTTGACTACATGGTGTGTCTCACAATTGATAGGTTACTCTACAAGTCAGTATGCTTGTCTACATAGTGTGTCTCCCGATTGCTAGGTTAATCTGAAGGTTATTATGTTGGGTAATGCTTGACTACATTCTGTGTCTCTTGTCAGACATTTATGGTGCTATTGTGAAACTGAATCCCAATTGAGACACGACGGTCATTTACATAACCAGAGGCTGCAGAAACATCACTGTTCTCTCTGATTCTAATTTAAAATTTTCCCATTGGGATTGTATGAATAGAAGAACATTAGATCGTGAGGAGGCGTTGCCTAGACTCCTCAATTTCTTCTGATAACCAAAATTGTAGATATCATTTACCATATTTGCAAAACATTTTTGAATTTTGTTCTTTACAAAATTCAGAAGTACTTATTTACCCACCCATGGTCGAAGGTGCCAGGAATGGCATGTAAGGATTTTATCCTGGATATAATCCTTGGTTTGTCAGTGCTTGTAGACATAAACAGTTAGGGAAGGAAGTACAGACTACACCATAGAACTAAGACAGTGTTTAAAGCAGGAAGAAACACAACTATCTGACTCTGCATTTAAGTGGCGGTCTGTTCAAAGATACATGCTTGACCTATACATCTGTAAGAAAGTACCAATTGACCCACATCTATGTGGGACATTATTTCCTATAACAATATTGTATGTCTTAGATATGTACCAATATTTACCATTATGAATAATATCCCAATCCAACAGCATTTAGTTTTGTACTCATCATTAACATGACATTGTGACCTTCCAGAGTATGTAGTACGACAATCATAGGTGGCATGGCATTAGCTGGAAGCTACAAAGTAATTGTCAGTTCCCCAATGAAATAGCACTTTAATTTAACATATAATTTCTAAAAATTACAGTTTTCTTTTTACTGAAATTTCAGTATGCGGTTTTCAAGGTTTTGAATGCCAGAATCTTTGCAAAACATATCTACATGGTGTAGTTTTGTAGTGTGGTGATTGTAAAATGAATGTTGTTTTGTAATGGAGGCTAGTGGCTGTCCAGAGGAATGTTGCAAGGATATTGTCAGTGCCAGCACTAAGATCATTCATTGTAAATGTCCATTGTCTATTATCATTCTCTATTCAAACTACAGAATCTGATTTACCCATTCAGATATGGAGATGACAAAATGTGTACGAAGTTTGTGTGACTGCTTCTGTTCTTTGAATGATGTAGCAGTTGAGGAATTTATGCACTGTGTTATTGCAAGTGGCTCATGTGTATTGTGTATGTTTTGTTAGTGTGTCCTGTAGTTGAAGAAACCAGAATTCCAGCTTGTTCTCATCTACTATTAGTAGTGTAGACCTGCATACCATATGTGATACCATGTGGTGGTCAAAAGGCCATGTGGAGAACATGCATGCCAGGCTGTTGATTTCCTCATCTTGTTGACCTGCATTCCATACTATTGTGGCCACAAAGGTCTTGTACAAGACCTGTATATCATTCTATTGATTGCCAAGCAGGTATTCAGGACGACCTGCATACCATACTATTGATTGCCAAGCAGGTATTCAGGACGACCTGCATACCATATTATTGATTGCTAAGCGGGTATTTGGGACGACCTGCATTCCATACTATTGATGGCCTCAAAGGTCTTGTACAAGACCTGTATATCATTCTATTGATTGTCAAGCAGGTATTCAGGACGACCTGCATACCATACTATTGATTGCCTCAAAGGTCTTGTGGAAGACCTCCATACCATACTATTGATTGCCATGGCGGCATTGTGGTTGACTTGCATGCTGTGCTCTTGATGGCCACTTGGTAATGGGGTGGACCTGCAAGTTGTCTTATTGGTGGCCACAGGTCATGTGGTAGACCTGTGTATCATACTACGGAATTATGGCAGCCCTGCATCCCATAGAACTGAAGGCCACATGGGTAGGCTGCATATGATGCTACTGACTCCAGCTCAGGTCAAATTGTGGCTATGCGTTCTTGTCAGGAATGTAATAACGTTACAAATCGTCAGTCACATCCATGGCCATCCTGAACAGGACACATACTGGAGTTGTCAACATAGCCATGTAATGAGACAAAGTTAACTGCAGCACCCACAACAGTGTCCATGCCCTTCCACAGGCCTCTCCACAAATGGTTTGTTGTTTAAAGCTGCACTCAGCTATATGGGGTCTCCACAAATGGTATAGCATCCAAACCTATTAGGCCCCAACCTCTCCCACCCACCCAGGACAAACCAACAGGTGAGGAGCGCTGCCTAGGGGACAAACTAACAGTACACATGTACATAAGCATTGCCTACCAGATGTTTACTACATTGCTAGTGATGTTATTTATTCTAGTAATTTGAAAATGATTATATACCATTTACATATTTGTAAGTTGTTTCCTTGGAGAAAAGTCCTTCTATTTTTCTGAACTTTGAGATATTTGATTATTAAATGTTGTATGTATATTTCCATTTAAGCTGGTGTAATGCCCCGTGACCTGTGTGTCTATGAGCAAGGCAGATGGTTGATATTATAGCATAGTCTGCCTTTTAAATGCATTTAATAAAGATCTATATGGATATTTCAACTACTGTTTCTTGTGTTATATAATGCAGAGGTTAAACCTGGCGGAAATGGTGAGGTAAAGATATGAAAATGTTATTTATGATATATGTATTTCATATGTACAAAGCTGACAAGGAGGAAAGAAAAAATATAACTACATGTTTAGTTAGATCAATGAACCTTATGGGGCGGTGGGGTAGCCTAGTGGTTAAAGCGTTGGCTCGTCACGCCGAAGACCTGGGTTCGATTCCCCACATGGGTATAATATGTGAAGCCGATTTCTGGTGTCTCCCGCCGTGATCTTGCTGGAATATTGTTAAAAGCGGCGTTAAACCCAACTCACTCACTCACTCAATGAACCTGAAACTTGCATACTTATTCTGACCAATGAGAAGAATCACAATTAGTTCAAGAAGGGTGAATCCGAATTTCAAATTACTCAGCAATAAAAGGTCCGGGTTAGAATCGGTCTTCAGCAACCCATGCTTGTCGTAAGGGGCGACTAACGGTATGGGGTGGTCAGGCTCGCTGACTTGGTTGAAACATGTCATCGTATCCCAATTGCGTAGATCGATGCTGATGATGTTGATGACAGGATTGTCTTTTTGCAGACTCGATTTTTTTACAGACCGCCGCCATATAGCTGGAATATTGCTGAGTGCGGCATTAAACAAGCCGACCAACCTTCTATAACAGTGATATTTGTTTTGAAGATACTGAAATGATAAAAGTGATGCGCCAATTGTTGATGCACCAAACACATGCCCCTGCATTGTTACCGTGTCAATGGATCTGTGTGCACTCGTTTTTCTTTCTCAGTTCTTTGGCGAGCATGTAACGCAGGTTGTTCGTGAAGTGCTGGAGGATTAACATCCCACCGGATACCCATTCACTGCTCAGAGCATGCCTAATGTGATGCGTGGATTTCAGTCTGCTACTCCTCTTATCAGAAAGCCAGATGCTGACTGGTTGAATTGAAACCTGGCGTGGTCTCTTATGTGCTTTACATATGAACCTCCAGGATCGAGGGAGTTTCGTTTTCTGCCACCTCTTTAGCAATAATCACGTCGGGGACACCAGAAATGGGATTCACACGTACATATGTGGGGAATCGAACCAGGATCTTCGGCGTGACGAGCGGACGCCTCATCCTCTGGGCTACCTACCAAAACCGCATATTCCCTACAGAGATACAAACCCATCACATGTTCCATACAGAGGTACAAATCCATCACGTAGTCCCTTCAGAGGGACACGCTAGGCTAACCACTAGGCTACCCACTAGGCTATCCCACCGCCCCTCAAAGAGAGGCTTGATAAAAAAAACCCTACAACGGCCATAAGATGAATTCTCGATCCAAACCGGTATCTTAATCACATTACATCAACGCATTACATCATCATAAAGTTAAAAGTACTTTTAGACGCAATCATCATATTTCCAGAAAATAAAAAAAAACGCCCGTAAAAGAAAATACTATACAAAATATGAGCGAATCCGGACCAAGACCCTAATATTGAAACTTGCGTTTATCAGCTGTAGAAAGAAATTAATCACCGTAATAATGATGTTTTCCCGATCTAATTTCCTTAAGAACATTCTACAACAAAAACATCTCAAATACGCAGTTTTAGTAACTTAATGGCGTGTTCAGCTTCATCAATCTCCGTTAATCCCCGCCTTGAAACTTTAATCTTGTAAGTGGCAAATCTACAGTGTACTTTAATTATCTCCTTTGATTAGTTAGTTTGACAAGGCCTCGACAGCTTGTTGCCGAAAAAACTCAATGAATTGTATTGTATCTAGGAAACACCTCGTAGATGCATTGGTGTTCAGAACGTGACCAGAAGTCCGCGGACCGCAATTCGCTGTTCAGAGTTGTGGCCCCTGGGTACATGGGTTCGAATCCGGGTTATGTGAGTAAGTGAGTATGGTTTTACGCCGCTTTTAGCAATATTCCAGCAATATCACGGCGGGGGACACCAGAAATGGGCTTCACACACTGTACCCGTGTGGAGAATCGAACACGAGACTTTCGCGTGACGAGCCAACGCTTTAACCACTAGGCTACCCCACCGCCCGCAGGTTATGTTACGATGCATGTCACATGTCACCACTCACCGTGAGTCACTGTTATACTGGCATACTGTAAAAAAGCGGGAGTTAACCCAGATCATTCACTCACTCGCTAGATTAAGGCTGTTTATATCAATTAAGGATGTTTTGATATACGGCAATTGCCACATCACGTGGCGGTTGAGAGAACTGCTATAAGTCGAGTCATCTCGAGGGTACGGTGCTCATCGTGACCCCTCTTCAGGGAATACACCTGTGAAAATCCGTTTGTCGTAAGAGGGTCCTTATGGGTGGTCAGGCTCGTTGACTTGGTTGACAGGTTATCGTATTCCAGGCGTCGGTCGATGCTCATGCTGTTGTAAGCCGCACACAGCAATATTCAAGCTATATGGCAGCGGTCTGTAAATAATCGGGTCTGGACCAGACAATCCAGTGATCAACAGAATGAGCATCAATTGCGGGTTAGAATTGGTCTTCAGCAACCCATGCTTGTCGGAAGAGGCGACTAATGAGACAGAGTTGTCAGGCATGCTGATTTGGTTGATGCATGTCACAGTATCCAGTTATCGATGCTCATGATGTCAATCACTGGATTGTCTGCACCAGCCGCCATTATTCACAGACCGCCGGAAAATGGCTGAGTACAGCGTCAACAAATAAACAAACAAAACAAACCTATCATCGACTCACTCTTTCTTTTCTTGATCCGGGTTCTGATTTGTTTCTTTGTTTCCTCTATAATCATAAACATGGTCTTAAAACTATACTGCTTGTTCTAAAACTGTAGGGGGCGGTGGGGTAGCCTAGTGGTTAAAGCGTTGGCTCGTCACGCCGAAGGCCCGGGTTCGGATCCCCACATGGGTACAATATGAACCCCATTTCTGGTGTCCCCCGCCGTGATGTTGCTGGAATATTGCTAAAAGCGGCGTAAAACCAAACCCAGTCAGTCAGTCTAAAACTGTATGTACGTTTCCAGTATAATAAGACATTGGATACACATTGATTTTTTTCTCTCCAACAGACCATTAAAGGTTCTCATAGAGATAATCGATATCTATTATAACCAGTCTATTGTTGTAGTATTATTGTGACAACTGTAAACATGTAAATATCTCTCTCCAGCGTTTCATATTTATCCCCGGACACCGGATTTCCTTGCTATTTCCGTCGTTGATCAATCCGAGTTCTTCATTGTGTAGTCGGACCACTAACTAAATAATTTCAATAACGTAAAGTCTTGTAGCGGTAGTGATCACTTTTGATCTGACAGTAATGACATTGACAAACTCACATGGTTATACATAGCAACCGTGCCTCTTGTTATACTTTTATTGAAAGGCCGAAATAAACAGATCGACCAACCAGTCACTGGCAGGAACGAGACATACATCAACAAACGGGATCACATGAAACCTAATCATTTATTGTAAGCACCTCTTTCAGCACGCCGTGGAATATCACCACATGGTATGGATCGGTCTATTCAACTGGGCTACTGAATATGTATTTACACCACAGGACACAGGAAACAGAAAGAACATGGCAAATGAAAGGAAAATCGTGATGTGTTGTTCCTTGATTGTTGAGATACATTAAAACCGCGTGAGATATCAAGACGTTATTTACCTAACCCTTGGAAATCATCAACACGTCCAGCAAGATGGGTAGCTGTCGCCTACGGTGCAAAGTTTTTGCCACTTTACCAGCTTATCAGATACAGTGATGTTGGATAAAACTGGTTACAATTAATACTATGCTATCTCTTTGCCATATATTTACATTCATGAATTGATGGGATGGGATTAGGTTCATCAAAGACTGACAGACTGAGTGTGGTTTTACGCCGTTTTGAGCAGTATTCCAGCAATATCACGGCGGGGACACCAGAAATGGGCTTCACACATTGTACCCGTATGGGGAATCAAACCCCGGCCTTCGGCATGACGAGCGAACGCTTAAACCGCTAGGCTACCCCACCGCCCCTACTGCATATTGGAAGAGTCACTTGGCAGATCTACCAAGGCAATGCACTGGGGCCAATGGAAGGACCGCCTGCTCGCCATTCTAGACTACGTGTTTCGAGACGATAACGACCGTCTCCACCGTTGACATATCTTTAACTGACAACATCAAGCAAAACAATTAATGATAACAAAATAGATAAATAAAAACTTTTAAAAAATATTAAAAATGAAATAAAAATCTCCACCAGATTGCCATAGCAAACTATTGGGTTACCACTTTTCCAACGGAGGCATGTGACGTGCTCGGGAGACTTGCATCTCGACGTTGCCAACAAGTGGACAACGACCTAAAGTTTGTCAGTAAGAGATTGATTAATCGGACCATCACAGATTGCATAAATGAATCTTCCAATCGTGGGAATGAACCATCGAAAACATGCCCCAAACAAAGTTTCACTACACCCTCTGCTGTCATTCAATTTTGTTTGCCACGATGGATTACACGGCGCTAACATGTTCTGTTCATCGTACTGTCGCATCCAGTCCTCCTCATCCTTATCAATAGTCAACACATTCTTGTTCATCTGTTATCATCTAATCGTACATAATATACCTTACGTCTTGTAGAAAGTCTGTATCAATAAATCGTTTTCATTTGTGTGTAGTTTTCTTTGTTTTTGCGCGAACCAGAGTGATGACATCGGACAAGATAATGAAACACCCACACGCTACTAATATTGCCATTCCCACACTGGCTATGGTGATGCTTGAAGGCCGCTGGTCATCTGCGCTTGTGTAGAGAGCCTCGAACTTCGCCAGCCCCCGCTTGTCCAACAACAGACTTTCCCGAACTTCCTCCTTTCGTTGCTGCAGGTCGTCAAACCTCAGAGCATTGTATCGATGTTTGGGCTTGCAGAAACACCGACATGGACTTGTGGTTGGAGGCGTAGTAACAGTCGTCTGTGTTGGAGAAGGAAGGGT